GGAGGTGATCTGGGCTGGGTGGCAGAGACGGCCGCCATCATCTCCGATGCCTCCTTCCTGTCGGGCCTGAGTGCCTCCCTACTGGAGCGGCGGGTGCCCCCAGCTTCTGGCGGGCTGCCCCACAGCCCTATGCCCCCTGTGTCCCAAGACCAGGACTCCCTCGCACCGGCCATGGGCCCCCCGGCTGAACGGGAGAGCGGACCCAGCCCTGCCCCCACAGCTCCCGAGGACATGCCCTCGGAGGCTGGCTCTTGAGCCCCGGTGACAGCTAAGCCTCCTCTGTCCCTGGCGTCCCCAGTCAGCTGGGTGTAACCCTGCCTACCCCACAGGGTGGAGGAGGCCTGCAGACGACATGCACTCTCTGGGGGCACCAGGCTGTCCTCCAGCCACCCCAGCCTCAGCTCTGGTCGGCCAGGGGTGGGCTCAGATGGTCTTAGAAGGCGGTTCTCCTCAGGTGTGGGCCAGGGGGCTCAGCCTTACAGTGGCAAAGCACACAGGTCACTGAGCCAGGATGCAGGAGGGGCTTGGGCTTTGTGAACGGTTTTAGAAGGGCCTGGTGTGAAAGTTGAAAGGTCCAGTGTCCCCACAGTGCAGTGCCACTGGGGCGGGTCTCTGAGCCTTGGATGAGAGCGGGGAACTGGCGAAGGCGGCAAACCCTTGCGGCTGCCCTGCTTCCACAGGCGGCGGCCTGGTGCTCCGTGCACAGTGCCTTCTCTACGGCCTCCCCTTGCGCCCAGGCCAGAGGGTGGGGCTGGCGCCTGGGCACAAGGCCAGGCGGCCACAGAATCATTTGGAGGGACGCGGAGAGCGCTCATTCCACTCTATTTAATTGCAGTGTACAAGATTGTGTTTGTATATAGAATAAAGCGTCTGTTGACAGTACTGTGTCCGTGTGCGCGCATGGGGCAGGGGTCCCCACCGACTGGGCGGTCACGGGGCCGCCTCCAGGGCGGCGCGTGCCTGCCGCAGGCATCATTGAGGCTCACGGGCGCCATCGCCGAGCTGGGCCAGGAGCTCTCCGCGCCGGAGCAGCGCCTGGCGCAACCGTTCGCGTACGCAGGTTATGTGCTTCTCCAGCGCCGCCAACTCCCCCGGGCCTGGGGCACCTGCAGGCTGCGGGGCTGGCGCGCGACCGTTGGAACAAAGCCACACGGGGCCCTCGGGCGGCCCGGCATCCGCGTCGACGTCCGAGGCTTCGGGCTCCAGCAGGAAGCGCACGCGGCGCTGCTCGGTCCTCACGGCGCGGCGTACTCGCCTCCAGCCGCCCGAGCCTGCCTCCAGCGCCGCCGCCTCCTGCTGGTGGGGCTCCGCAGGATCTCTGGGGACGAGACTACGGCTGGAGACGAGGTGCACCTGCGTCCACCCTGCCCCTTCTCGGGCACCTAGACCTAGAGCCGCCTCCGAGCCGTACCCTGTCCGCGATCCCTGCTTGGGAGGCCGCCACGGGTGGCACGGAGCTGAGGACTGTCACAAAGGAGCCGTGTGTGAAGTAACCGCTAGCCCACCCCACTGTCGCCTTCGATCCAAAGGGGCCTGAGCAGGGCGGGGCGGGGGGACGCACCGAGGGGATGGGCACCGTGCGCCCGAGCCACTCCCTTCCGCACCACCACGGTCAGGATCGGCTGGGGGTGGGACTTCCTGGGGCTCCACCCCTTACCTCGAGTCTGGCTCGGGCTTCTCGCCTCTCTGCCCTCCTGGCAGCTCGGTGTTGAGGGCCCGGTGGATTTTCTAGGAGCCCAGACAGGCCGGGTTGGGGCTGGGGTCTGGAGCGAGGCTGCCCCGCTGCGTCCCCAGTCCGCCGCCCTCGGCCCTGCAGCCTGCCCGGCGCCCCCACCTGGCTTGTGTGTAGCCAGTACTGCAGCCTGTTACCCCTGCGGATGCGCGGCAGCGCCAGGCGGTAGAAGACGTGCTCGCCCAGCAGGCTGAGCAGGGCGCTGCCCAGGCCCAGGCAGAGCAGCACGAACAGACCCGAAAAGTGGTAGATGCCCATCTGGAGGGTCTGCGGACGGACACGGCACTAACCTTCAAGGTCACGGAAGCCCCCTGGGGGAGGGGGCCTGGCTGGGAGGCAAGGGGACCCTACGGCTGGGGATGGGGGTGATCACAGGTTTCGTGGAGGAGGGGGCACTGGAGATGAGGTTTTGTAGGTTGAATAGGAGGGTGAGAAAACACAAGCGTGCATCTTGGAAATGAGTAGGGGTTGGCCGCACAGGCGCAAGGCCCCCCTCGCCCACCCTTGCCCGTGTCCTTCCCCACCTCCGTGACGGCGAAGACCCGCTTCCCGCAAGGCACCATCTTGTACCACTTGTCGTGCAGCAGGTCAATAAAGCCCGAGGACTTGTAGCGGCTGATGAACTCGGACAAGTTGGAGGTGAGCGGCGAGTTCTGGGGCAGCCCAATGCCGTAGCCTGGGAGAGGCCAGAGTCCGAAGGGGCTGGACTGGGGCGGGACTCCAGAGGAACTCTGCCCACACAGGCGGCCTTCCCCTGCCCGGCTTGGACTCTGTGCCTCCCCAGTCCCCCCGGGCTCGCTGGCCTCTCGAAGCGCCTACTTCACCCCAGGCCCCCCAAGCCCCGCGCCCAGCCGCGAGCCCCCTCACCCTCGATGGCGAACGGCTTGCCTACGGTCAGCAGTTTGCAGTCGGCGTCGATGGAGACTTCATAGTCCAGGAGGGACTTGTCCATGATGAAGGCATCAAGTTTGGAAGGGTCGCTTCTGCAGAGGTTGGCGGGTTGGGGGCGGGATCGGCGCT